ATTTGTAAAGAGACTGGAAGACAGAAAATCCCTTCTTATTCTCGACATCTGTTCAAGTCTTACTGAATTTTACTAGATTAATTACGGTTGAATAGCGAGTTCGATCTTCACTGGGTGCTCCATACTTTCGGCCTTGAGCCATATATAAGCTACGCTTAGAAAATCACCAGACTGGAAATATGACTGTGGTGTTAGAATAACGTATAGACAGCGTACAGATAGCAAAAAATACATTTCTTATTCAACCTCAGCACACAAGAATATTGTATCAAAGGAGGCTAATTGCCGCTTATTTTTTAAGATGCGTATGTTAGATATAATAAATTCTGACAAGCCTGTTTCAACATTTATCAAATAATTTGATATGAAAAATATCTAAGATTTTACTAGTCTTAATGGTTTAAAGATATAAAAATATATTAGTCGGTCAGAAGTATATTAATGAATTATTATTACATGACCTCTTTTATCTAACATTCTGGTACCAGAAAAGTGGTGGTATACATGTAATGAAATGATAATTACTATTAATATTAATAAAAGCAATCGTAATTGTTGTAATAGCTGTAAATATTCATTCACTTAGATTCTTAAGAGAGGAAACAAGTTTCATGAGTAGTATTCTGGTTTCTTGGCACACACAATTTGCCTAAAGTGCCAATAGTCTTTCAATCTCTTGAGAACCTTAGGGTATTTTTTCTTTATACCTGCTATAAATCTCTTCAAGCGTCACATCCCCTTATATATTTATTTTACAAGACAAACACTTTTTATATAAATTACATTTCTGGAGAGGAGACGTTTACTGTTATCAAACAATAAACGCAGCATTATTTTTATTGTTTCAATTTAAAAATTGCTAGAACAATGCGAATGACAATATGGCGGACGCCGCAGTAGTCGAGTTAATCATATACATATGCTTGAGAGTCACGTGATCGGTGCTTTGGTTGAAGAGAAGGGTGCAATTGTTTCTCAACCTATACGAAATCATTTTAAAAAGAATTTAATTATTGTGTTTGTTCTTCTTTTCGAATTGTATTCGCTGTAGGGACGACATAATCAAATTAATGGTAGTAACGGATGATAGTCCACTGGTTAAAACATTCAATTGGTTACTAACAGATCTACAGTTGAAATCCACCAATAATCAGATAAATAGACTTTTAACCATTTTTACTGCAGTGTTGGCCATTGAGATTTCTCTTTGAATTTAAGCTTGAAAAAAATTGACGTATTGGTGGAAAAATTCTTCTGAGTGGTTGAGCAAAGAACACAGATGAAACTTTATCATTATTCTTTTTAATTTATCTTAATTTAATCATTGTTGCTTTTATTGTAATACTCTGACAGTTTTAATTTCTGCAACCGTTAAATAAGTAGCATGGATCAGCAATAAAAATGAGGTGGCCTCTGACCAAATTTGAACTCCGATCTAGTATCCTTGAAAGCTTTTGCCGTAGATATAGTGATTCACAAAGTTCGTTTTTAATTGAGGGTCCCACAAATAGACTTACTAAATGTATACATAAGTTCGTCTGTCGCACAGTAGTTGTAGGTGGAATATTCTAAATCAGAGTATAGTATCTGCCTGATATATGGTCCACCTAAACTGAAATTAGTTAATCTTTCTGACCAAGAAACTGATGTAATAATATTAAGCAAGAAGATATTGGGAAGAATGCGGAAGAGGACAAGGGATAAGGGGGAAAGGTAGGAAGTAAGAAAACTAGAGAAAAACAAAAAGAAAGGAAATAATAAATATACATATATATTGGGTTGGAACAAAAGTTCAGTAGGTGGCGTTTGAATACGTGACTTCGTTTCACAAATGACTGAAATTTAAGACATATACTGCATATACATATTCTGAAAGGTGACATTTCAACGCGTCTATTCGATTCGTGTAAGTGTATTTTTGCCATTTGATGCTCTTTTATTTTGGGAAAGGAAACAGACAGAAAAAAATCATATGTGCCATTTATGGAGACGGTGCCATAGCTGAGAGTACTATTCGTAAGTGGTTCGCGAAATTCGAAAGAAATTTTTTTATCTGAAATACCGAGAACTGTGTGACACAAGAGCAGTCGTTGATGATGACAAATTTAAGCGCTGATTAAAAATAATTCAAGTTCCACGACACGAAACATTGCAGACATACTCCATATATATCATATGAGAGTTTTAAGGTTATTTGAAAAGATCTGGATACGTGAATCACTACTAAGTTTGGATGCCTTAGTACAACGGAAACTATTTAATGGGCCGAAATTCCACTTGCGATACTCTGATCAAACACAGCACATTTTTGTAAAATAACGATTGAAGGAGATGAAACATAGATTGTTTACAACAATGTTCAACGAAAAAAGGTAATATGGAAAAGTTAATGAACTAATGTTAATCACTACAAATGTCAGTCTACATCCGAAGAAAGTAATGCTGTGTATTTAGTAAGATTGGAAGGGCATAGTGTATTACGAAAATTGGTTTCCTGTTACTTCCTCTACAATTTGTAATTCAGGATTTTATTCCTCTTATACTGGTTAATACCTAAGGTTAGAGAATCTAGTTTACCCTGCTATTTAAATTATATTGGTGAAGGTGAAGATATATATTCATTTATTTATATATATTAAAATAATTTCAATGGAACAAAAATGTTGTCATTATTTCTTATAACATAAAAAGTGTCCTTTGTAAAACTCCAAATTTAGTAAAAATCCAATCTTTAAGGGAAGAAAAAATGTTAAAAATGTTCAATTAAATGATTCATATTTATTGAATAAATATTTAACATAATTTTTGTTTTGTGTTTAATTCCCCTTAAAAAAAAAAAAAAAAAAAACCTTTATATACAACCCAATATATATGGTCATTATAAGATGAGAATCTGTGAGATATAGCTATATATAAATATGATGTGCCTTGTTAACAATATATATATATATATATATCATATTATATATATGTATGTATGTGTGTATATATATATATATATAGCATTTATTTAAAAATTACTTCAACTTATTATAACATTTTATTTTATATTTTTAATAAATTTACTTTTTTACTGGAAAAGGGGAGAAAGGGATGAGCACTCTTAAGAATAGTATTTGTTGGTTTATTGGAATTTATTACATGAGACACCAATTCTATACTTATATATATATATATATATATATATATAAATAAAAAATGCATCAAATTTTATATATAAATTTAAAAAATCATTAGAAGATATATATATATATATATATATATATATAAAACAATTGTAATAATTATGACATCACCATGTGCTTCTCTTATCAACAAAGATGCATATTTTTGAGATTAAAGAAAATATTCATTATTTCTAAAATAAAATGATATCACGTAACAGCTTTGCCTATGCTTAAAAGCAACCAACTTTGAATCAGTTCACTGGCAATGTCTGATTTTCACTAAGGTTTATCATATAATCTCTATATTAAAAGTAGAGTTTCCAAAACTGATTATAATTAAATAAATCAAAAGTTTAATGTTGCTGGACTTTCAAAACTATCCTAAATATAGCAAACATGACAAAGCTAAATTTTTAATTATTTTCTTTTCTGTTTTATATATGTAATTTGGATGTATTCAAATCAAATGAAATAAACAATAACAACCAAATATAAAGATTACAGTGAAATATTTAATATTGCAGAATAGTATTAACATAAGAAATGCTGAATTTTGACTATATACAGGCCCATTTTTTTTGAGCTGTATAATATACACTTTTCATAAAATACATTGTTTTGAGCAGTATCTAAATTACATGACAGTAATGTCATCTTGCTACCATATCTTATTCTATTTTAACCCGTTTTTTATGTTAAGTCTTTAAAAGGTTTATCCAGTTCTCATGTAATCTATTATAAATTTAGACATAGATAATCATAGGATAAATGAATTGTCCATTTCTAATAAGCATAATAGATTTCATAACTTAGAAAGATACTATAAAAATGTACAAATAATATTAAATATAGTAATTTACAAGGCTTCTTTCTGCTACCAGCATACTGTTTAGGACACATTTTGTGACCTTGAGAAACCCCTTGGATTGACTTTCTTAACTTTCCTATTGAGGACTGTGCCAGAGAGATTTCTTCTTGGGTTAAAGCCAATCTCGATGATTTTGTACCCTCTTGGAAATAGCCAGTGAAACTACAAATCTTTTCCTTGGTTCACACCAGTCTGTCCAGCTGCTATAACCTACAGGAATCACTTTTTCTGGGCGTACCAGCATGATAGTTCCGATCACCTATTTGTCACTGCTCATAATAATTACAAATGTAACCTGAAAGAGGCTGTCTTTGTTTGCTGACAGAAAGAGGCATCATATAGCCTTTAACAAGTTTGCTTCTTGTGACTATTGGTGGCTCCATAATAGTGTCTTAAATAAAAGTGTCTATCCCTCCTCTATTGACTCAATTTCAGGTGTTATGTTGATAAAGCCGAATGTTTTGCTCACAAATTATTTTCAAATTCTACTCTTGACTCATTTGGAGTATTTTTACTTGACTTTCCACTTAGAATTGAGACTATTTAGTGATATGCATGTAACTTTGTCCATGGTCTCTGCTATCATTTCTAAACTGAATCCCTACAAAGTACGTGGGCTTGATGGTGTCTCTGCAATAGTCCTTAAGAAATGTGCTTCTGAACTGGCTCCTGTCGTCTCTAAAGCCTACAATAAATTATGATGCTATGGCTAGTGTCAAAGGTTGACTGGGGCTCTAATTTTTAGTTCTGAGGAAGGAAAATATTTTTCATGTCAAAACAATATGATAACATGAATTTTTAGGTTCATGTCACCTTTGGTTTATAGTGTGAGAGGTGAAACTGTGAGCCTGGGTGGGATTGGTTGTTAGGTACAGTTCACGAAAACTATAAAGCAGGATTTCAAACAAAAATGTAAATAAAGACTGCCTGAAAATGAAAGAAATAAATATAATAATTTAACTTACGTTGTAATTTATGTTCCAAAATGTCAAGGAGTCTGTGATAAACTTTGTTACACAATCCACAAATGAATGTGTCCATTTTACCTGAAGTACCTGAAAGGAAAGAAAGTACAATATCAATTTTTTATGATAATAAACTGGATTATTTTAATTTATCCCTTCCATAATTGCTTAATCAATGCTGCTATATTATCTGAAAAAGATCAGAGAACACAATATAAACAAAAGATGAGAATATAAAAATACTAGCAGCATTACCTAGCATTGCCTGGGTTTATTCAAAAAAAAAGATCACAAACCTCATCCAATCTGTAAAGTTAAAAGAAAGAAGATTTTTCTTTAGTTCATCTTATCTATATGGCAAAAAATTATGACATGAAATGTGAAAACATTTATAACAGGAGAAAGTTGTTTTTTACAGAAGCAAAGAAGATACAAAAACATTTGTCAGCAAATGAAGAGTACATTAATCGCAATCGATCTTCAAAAATTGTTGAGGAGAAATACTTTGTTGACAGCTTTTGCTCAAACTACATCGAATGAACAACATGCATTGGAAGGAGAAGAAATTCAATAAAGACTTCTCCCAGCAGCTGTGCCAAGGCTGAAAACCAACGTTTACAAAGACTGTATAGAATTGTTCTTTGCCCCTCAGTTTCAACAGCTCGAGTAACAGAAGTTCTGGCAGCGTTCCTTCCTTCCTCGTCTAGTTAACCGTTGCTCATTAGTTTCTGCTGACCTTACATTAGCTGTACGAATAGCATTTTGTATCAGTCTAATTTGAGTTTCTTGTGGTGAAGCATTTCTTCTCCGTGCTTTCATGAGTTTGGCTGTAGTAGTAGCATGTCCAAGTGAAGGATTTCACTTTCTTGGCATTACTTTCAGGCTGTAGTTGGAGGGGTTTGGCTTAGCTTTTTGAATAACAATGAAGTAATCAATTAAAAAGCAAGAATATTATACACATTAATAGAAATATAGCCACAATAAATTAAATACAAGTTTATAAGAGAGACCACGGGAACGTGGTAAAAAATTATAAGCAAGCTTGTACAGTTAGGATTTATCTACAAATAGACTACCAAAAAACGTTCTAGTGATAAAAATAAAAATTAACGTTAAAACGTACAGGCTAAGTTTAGCATAATTATAAATGAATCGAAAGAGGGTCTTTACATTATTATGAGTGCATTTTTCAGAATAAAACTGTCAAAATTTTAGGGCTCAAGTTTCCAAATATATGAGTTAGTAAGCATTATTTAAACGCTGATTAGAAGATGATAAATACATAATTAAAAATTGGCATTTATACTTAAACTTTTTTAAAATGATTTTCACAAATTTAAAGTATCAAAAATTTAAAATACACATGCATGAAGGCAGCCTACCTTTTTACTGGATGACAACTTTGATGCGAATGAGTTTTTTTTGCATTTATTTCATCACATAGCACTAATGAACACTACACGTAATCGATAGTACGCACTACAGAACTCAATCAATCATTGCACATGGAGCAAAATCAATTGTACCCACTACACATCTTGATCAATCTCACACACACGTCTTATACCTACGTGCACTTCTCTCATTGGTGCACACTTTTGTTTGCACTTATTCTTTTTTTCTTAAGGAAGGATATAATTTTTGCCGTCAAGTAAATGCAAACTAAACTATTTCAGTACCAAAACAGGAAATCCATGGGAAAAACTGATATTTTTCATAATGTATTTATGACACATGGGGTGTCAGTTTTGATTTTGAGTTGATTGATCTAAACACAAATTATGTGCAAATTTTCATCCGAATTCTGCTAACCACTACAATTGAAAGACTAATGAGGCAGCAAGGTCTTCATGGGTCATCTTAGGGGCCCCTTATGTAGTTTTCAAAATCTGATTATGTTTTTGATTCATTTTAAGATTGTAACATACATGTAAATTCCATTGAAATCAAAAGCAATTTAAAATTTGAAAATTTGGGGGTTCACCCTTGGGTCCCAAATTTCAAGCCAAAGAACAGGTTTAAGACTAATAGTAATTGAAATAATAAAGCACATCTTTTTTAAGTTTTCTATTTAATTGACTTTATGGCCAAGGCTGTAGACTTAATTGAAAATTTTGGGTTCCCTGCTGGTCCCCTAACTTCATGGGGTCCCAGTGTTGATTTTCAGTGAATTCCAAGTGACTACTTCAGTTACTCGATATAATCTCAATATGTACTGAAATTTTCGTTTCAAATTGGGGAATACTGCTACAAAATACACTTGAAAGGCAATTGAGGCATCAAGGGGTTTATAGGGTCATCCTGGGGCCCCCTCATGCATTTTTAAAAATCTGACAACCGATTTCTTTTCTCATTGAGCAATAAACATGCAAAATTTCATTAAAATCAAAGCAATTTGAATTTTTTTTGGGGCACCTGGGGTCCCAGTGTCGAGAAATGAAAATCAATATAATGTATAATAAGCGTGACAGTAAGTTGCATACACTTATCAAGTTTCATTAGAATCGGCCTTAGGGTTTAGACTTCAAGTCTGAAAGTTTAAAAACAACCAAACTAATGGAGATTTCCATTTAAACATTATATTTATCAGTTATTGATTTTTGAAAAATGACTAATTTCTTTACCCGGACATACCCAGTATCAAGTATAATCTATGTTACAAATTTGGTGGAAGTATGCCTTATGGTTCTCTAGTAGTTCGCGAACACACACACATAGTCAGTTTTATATATATAGAAGACAGATAAACTCAAAAAGGCTAATAAAATCCAGTCTTAATATCTCTAACAATATCTGCTGCTATTAATTCATTCTCTGGCTCTCTATACATAACTTGACAATCCCTACAATACAAGCACAACAGTGCCATATCATCAAAGTAAAATATGACATTTTAAAGTAGTCAGTTTAAAGATTCTTCCACACTATTTCCTAAATATTCTCAAATGAAAGTCATTTTGAATAGATTTTTGGTTATTTTAGTTGAGGAAGTTTATTTACCCATTTCAAGAAATCTTAGTGTTAAATAATCATGAGTATTAGTTTTGACTAGTTTCTCTTTAATTTTATTCTTGCTTTTTATCATCACATTAGTCTAAGATAGGATTTGAACTCACATTCCTGGGAATTAAGTTTTCTTTGTTTTAAGTAAACAGCTCAGATCTAAGAAATTCAGGTAAAGACTACCAAGAGTGAGAAAAATGAAACATTATTTACAGTATTTACATGCAGATTATTGTCCTCATCTTTGCTGTTGTTATCACATTTCGATCTTCATCAGGTATATGTCGATCTGGTTAACCTACAAGAAATTCCAAACTAAACCCTTTATTTATGGGAGTAGGCTGTTCTCATTCCACATTCTATACTTAGGGATATCTCATCCAGTACTTATTTTTAGTAATACTCAGTTATTGCTCACCCTGTTTCCACCAAGTTCAAGTACACATTACCCAGCCCAGGGATAGAATGCACAATTACTATATTGCCAAATTCATGAACTAACTCTTTAATCTACTAGACTACTGTCCTACAGAACAATTCTCTGTGGAGAACTTGAAGCCTTAAAACCTAATCTAACTACTGATAAGTACTACTGCGTGTTATGTTTGACAGCACCCACTGAAGCTTTCTCTTGTTACAGCTACTGCTGAAGAATTGCTGTCATTTGTATCCATGTTGTACTTATTTCTATGCTAGACCTACTAAGGAGATTCTCATAACCTAGCACATGCGTGATTCTTTCAGATATCTAACTCTCCAGTATTTTTACTGTCAGCCATGCGAGATTTCATCGTTCCACAGCCTCACTATGGCTTTTTCATGTTCTGCCAGCCTTGGATTTTGGGGGTGACATGTTTTACTTTTTTTATTCTTTGTCACAACTGCAAGGAATGGAATACACACAGTTCTTGGTTATGCTATCCCCTATGTTAGGCTTTACTTGGCAGAGTTCTCTGTGGAGTGGGTTTGCTTCTGAATAGTGTCCTGATGTTGTATAGAACACATCTAAATCTTTTCTGATAAGCCCTTGATATAAGGTAGACTGTGTCAATTTTCTGGTTTTCTTCTAATCTGACCCTTCTGTTTTCACCTGCATACACTGATGTTATGTCTGCAGGGAGGTTGTTACTTTGTAGGTTATGCTTGATGATCATTTCCTGGTATGTGTCTGGGTTGCCACATGAGTTTTGCCTGGTGTTGTAGACATAGAATGATCCCTTTCTTCACACTGTATGGATGATGGGAATTGAAGCTGAGGTATTGTCCATTGAAACATAGTTTATGATATAATGTATTCAGTTCTTTTCATACATTAAATTGATCATTAGCTGTCTTGGTATCATATGCCAGGCAATATCTGTTTTTGAATAACTCTCCTTGAATTAAAATCATAATCTTGACTGCTATTTCTATGGTTTTAGGGGTTTTTTTGGCACAGACCCCTACCTAAATCTAAATGGGTTAAATGCAATATGCAAGCACTTTCCAGAAATATTGACTTCTCAGCAGACAAGAGTTTCTAGACCTAAACCCATATTTTTTTTTAATTAGGAATCTGAAAGTTTTGTTTTAGTCTTCCTCTTGAGTACAAATAACCTTAATTTCATAATTGAGCTGAGAATCATTGAAGGAGCTCAAAAACCACAAATGTCTGCTTGGAGATCTCTTTGCTAAGATATGAGAATACAATGTTATACCTAAGGACTGGAATGAGCACTTCGGGTTTCTAATGGGTAACCTTAGCAATTATGAGAGGTGTTGTGAAAATGGGTAACCTGGAAGACAGAACTTTGTCATTGTTACTGTTGTGGAGGTTAATTCCATTTCCACCTCAGCAAACACAAATCCAAGTAAAAAGAATACATTGAATATGGGTAAATAAATGTATAATTTATTTACATAGATACAAAACTCGTAACTTCTATCTGGTGCTGTTGCTAAGGCAACAGGGAGAGAGAATGGTGAAATTAGAAGCAAAATAGACATTGGTGATGGTTGTCATTTGCAAGGGTGGATTTGGCTGAATTGAAGGCATATAGGGCATCTTATTGCAGAGTGATGTTTTCGTTTTTTCTCTCTCTAATAGATTGGTTAAGGGTAAAAGTATAGATGATAGATTCGAGATGAAATGACGATAATAATTTATCAGTTTGATAAACATTCTTAACTATCAGATGGAAGTAGGTACAGGAGAAATTTTCAACTGCTTTCACTTTTCTGAGTAAGGGTGAAATCCTATGACATGTCCAAGAAATTTAAACTGAGTGGTGCCAAAAGTACACTTATCTAAATCATTCCCAGTTAAATGTGAATTAAAGCAGAACTGTATTATCGCCCTAATTCTTTTGTTAAATGTTATCAATTGGGTGATGTAACAAGCAACAGCAGACTGTCCACATGATATCCAATGGGCCATATTCATATAATTGAAGTTCTTGACTTTGATAATGATCTACTAGTCAAGTCCTCTCCAAGGAAAGTCTGAGTGGCTAATCAGTTATGGAAGAGCAAACTTATCTACCTTTCACCCAGAAAAGGACCCAGGTGATTGCCTCAATACTTCAACAATACCAATCATCATTGGTAGAAAGATATTGGAATCTATTAAGGATTTCACATACCTTGGAAACTTTAGATAGGATAAAATTAGCAGTTTCCAAAATGGTTTTCATTTTGGAAACTGCTAATTTTATCCTGTCAACTTGACATTAATTGACATTTATTTATCTATCCACATCAATAAAGACAAAACAGCCTAACACGTTCACTCCAATCCCAATTTTTTGAATCTAAATTTATTTTCAAAAAAAGTTTTGCATGCAAGGAATCAGAGAGAGATCAGATTTTAGTTTTACTAATATCATATACAACAGGATTCGCACCAGCCACAAGCACAATTATTGGGGAGTCTTCCACGTTTCACTGTTCATTTCTCTCGCCGCTGATGAAGGACACAGGCGTGCCCGAAAATTCCGGACTTAGAACCTTAATTTCTGTCTTGTGGTTAATAATATTTGTTTTTCGTACTGATCACATTGGTACCCTTTCGTTTGCCCTTGTTTTATTAACCAACCTATACACACGCGCATATGTGAATAAAGACAAAAAAAAGGAATACTTTCATATTGTCTTTTTACAGATAAATTTTATTTAGAGAGCGGCTCATATTTTTAGGCATTAAGCAATTTTGTACTTGATATCATAAATCATAAGTCACTTGATTTTCATCTTTTTTGATAACAAATGGAAATTATGGTTAACTTTGTAAATATTTTTATTTTATTAACAATCAACTTCAGGACAGCAGAATAGGAAGTAACTTATTACTTAAAGAAACAAGTAGTAAATATACAATGGCAAAAAGTTGACATAGTTTTTTCAGACGAAAAAATATAAAAATAGATTTTTAGTAAAAAATAAATCTTCAAAAGATGTTTATTTAATAATGCGTGATTCCATTCGGACATAAGAAGAGAGACTTAAAAAAGTAAAAGAAATAATCGAATGCATTTCATTTCACTCACTCAGGTTATTGAATCATTTCATAAACTGCCGTCAGGGTGAAAGTAACATTTTATTGTTAAAATTAAAAATGTTCTACTTTTTATTCAAATATTAACGTTTGTTAACTCTTATAATTAAATTAAAAATAGATTGTCATTGCATTTAATTTGAAAGTAATAATGGTAAAGAGCTTAAGTATATAAAAAAAAAACTTCTCCAAGTCTAAACACTAGTGTTACTTATAAATTAGCACTAACAGTGTTTAATTAAATCTGTATCTTGGAGAAGTTTTTGAAAATTACTTGTGAGGTTGTTAGTGTTCAGTTGTTAAATAACACTAACAACACGAGCAATTTTCAACAAAACAAATATCAGATATATTTTTCTACATTTTATTTTTAAACATCTAATTTTAAAATGCACTGGGCACTCAATAAAAAAAAAAAATAACAATAAAAATGATTTACAGATTCCCCAAACCAAACTTGACTGGAAAAGAAAAAGAAAAAAATGTTTCTTTCCGCCCAACTGAACAGAAAATTAATCATTCCTTGACTTTATTTTTTTAAAAACCCTTAACAAATAACTAAATTTCCCGCAATCAAACTTGATGACAGTATTGCAAAAAAAAAAAATAAATAAAATAGTTCTCGAAACATAATGAAAGCGGGAGACATTATCTTTACTCCCAACTGCTTCACAGGGCTTTTCCCACATCCAGTCATCATGAATAAAACAAACCAAAGGCATTGAATTATTTTAGTAATTGTCTACTGTGCGTCCAGTTACAAAAAAAAAAAAACAGATGTCTTGCGGTCCAACCCACATCACTTAAAAAATTGAATGAAGGGGGTGAGGGGGTCATTACAGTTGAGTAAAACATCATGTCAACAAAGATTAAAATTGGTATCATTGTTCGCTTAAGTAATCTGAATTATGACATCGTAACTCTATTTCATAAACAAAACAAGAATTATCAGTAGAAAAGTTAGAAATCTGAGCGAAGTTAGGAGTTGTTAATGAAAAAATAAATAAAATAATAATAAAACTTCATTTTGTCTATGTGCATCTTCCACTCTTTCTCTGAGTGTAAAATAAAAGTAAAACAATCACAGACTCACACAGATTATTCCATAATCATTAAAAAAAAAAAAAAAGAAGTCAACACAAACAGATCTCACCATAAGTCATGTGAGTCGTTGAATGCATTATTGCGGAACAAAAGTCAAGAAAAACATTAATAAACACTCGTAACTAAAATCTAAAAACAGTTGAGTAAAAAGGACCCCAATGATACTACTTACAACTTACTACAAAGAAAAGAAAACTGTTTATGTTGTTCAGAGAAAAATAAGACTAAGTGAGTGGTGTATGTGTTGTTGAGGGCATTTCTAGCAATAAAACATTTTTGTAAACAACAGATTACAAAAGACATCATAATTTTATATGATTTTTTTTTTAAAGTCAGATGTTTATTTGATACCGCTGTTTCTTATTTGTAACAACAAACTGAATTTTTATCAAATTAAAAAAGTCAAATTCGAGAGGCATACAAGTTTGAAAAATGACAGAAGTTGAAAAAGTTTACGAAATAAAGTAAACGGTAAACCTATTTTACAGTAAGAAAAACAGGTATCGTTTTATTAATGAAAAGGGAAATAAATTTATTTAAATAACTAGTAATTTAAATAAAAACGTTTTAAAAGAAAGATGAGATTTAAAAAGCAAAACTTATTTGAGCGATGACATTGGCTGTATGTGGGGGTGCTGAAAATTTCTCGATCGAAATTTTCAGCCCATCTACTTTAAATTAAAACTTAACCTAATTTAACTTTATCATCATGTTGTGATTCAGTAATTTCCTAGAAAAAGATTTTAATTTTAAGATTTTGTAAAAGTAATTTAATTTTTTGAAAGTAATGATTGTTGATACTAATTATTAATTTCAAAATGTCTATTTTAATTTAAAATTCAAACAAAATCATTGAAAATGAAAATAAAAAAATGTAATACAGTGATAGTAGAACATTTTTAATCAACTGTTTTTTACTTCAACTAAAAAGATGCTAAAAAAGAAGCAGATAAATTTCAAACAAATTTAAACTAGAAAATTAAAAACATTCGTTTAAAATTAAAAAGAATAATTTTATTTTTGTTGTAAAAATAATTCAAAATCAGTAATTCCAAAAATCGAAATTGAAAAAAATGAAGAATGTAATTAAAAATAAAAATACAATAAACTAAAAGAGACGATTTTGCTAACGTAACTAAGTTTTTAGTTTTACTTTTCCCCATATAAATATTTTGCTATTTTTCTACTATTGCTTGACAAAAAAACAAAAAACATGCAATGCTCCTTACCTCTGTCCCTGGGTCTTGACTTTACTTTGTCCAAATTGTATACTTCAATAACAAAATTATTAGCCGCCTCTGACGTTCTTGACTGTAGGATGTTGTTAGTAATCAAGTCACATGTGGACTTTCTTTGGCAATCAATTGAAGGTGCCAAAGGAAGACATCCAACAACACCCGAAACGACACTGCTGCTCGGAGTGTGATTGGGCATAATTTCAGGTGCTATTAGGGGGAAATTCAGACTTTCTTTAACTTCCATTTCTCTCTTTTCTTCTTTACTGTAATTGTTTAGCCTCTTTTTAATTAAAAATTATCTTCCAAGTCTATTTTTTAAAATTAGGCCTGCCTAAACTTGTTTGGTGAGGAAGGGATCTTCACAAAAATCCCAGTTTTTGTTAAGAAAAAAACGTTTGTTGTTACATAGGGAGCAAGAAAAAAAGAGGACAAAGAGTCGAAAAGGCTATTTTTTTTCTACAGCCTGTCTCGTGGATAGGCTGTACTTGAGAAAGTCAGCTCCCAAAGTAAGATTTTGGGGCTTGACACCTTGGCAAAGTAAGTGTGTGTCAGGATTAAAGGCTTAAAAACAAGCAGCGACTATTGACTAAAAGTTGTCTGTGTGTGAAGTCAACAACACACACTAACGATAATTGGAACTCTTCAGTAAATGAGGAAGACATGCGTACGTTGTCCTAGTAATAGAACTTCACTACAGAAACTGTGATTTGGTATCAGTTGAAGTAAAGTTTTATATACTTTCTTTATTAGCATTTTCATGAAAATAGAATGTATTCTTTATATCTGATTCATTCGATTTTTCTGCATAATATACACTTTTTTAAACGAAGTAAAATATTCTCAATCAACTGAAGTTTGAAAAATTAACTATTAAACGAAATTTTTCACCAGTTTTCGAAATTTTTCCATCTTTATGAATAATTTTCCTTCTAGTAAAGAAATGTGATTGCTTCATCATGGTTACAGGTATAATATTTTACTTTCATAAATGAAAAAAATGTTCCAGTAACTGAAAAGAATTATGCTTAGAATATGAGTGATTATGTAGCACCAGTATAAAATAGTTAGGTATTTATATGAATAATGACATATAACCCAGACAACATATCATGTATTAAATCTTTATTAATATTAGGTTGGCCAAAAAAATTAATTAAGTTTTTTTAAATATAAATAAAATACTTTTTTTCTTGACATTATTGGACAACATATTTACCATTTTGTTCCATTATATTCTACCATCTTTCAGGAAACTTCATAATTACATTCTTACAGAACATTTTATCATTCTCAAGAACTACTCTCGATATCTTTTGCTCTCTTCCATATAACTGAATTTGATTATCATTTACATCAGACTTTAAATGAAAAACGTTTAAAGTTTGCTATAAATGATAATCTGAAAGGGTAACATCTGGTGAATACATATGATGAGCAAAAACTTCTTAGCCAAGCTGTAGCAGTTTTTCTCCAATCTCCAAAGAAACCTGCATCTAACATTATTTTGATGGTTTAGTAACCCTCATTTCAATTTCAAACATTTTCTTTAATTTCATTGGTTGTTAAATATAAAATAAGCTAGAAATTTCCATAACAAAACAATCAAATTTTGTGCAAAAGTAGGCTCAGTCGACATAAAAAAATCTTTCTCAAATTCATCCCTAATTTAAATGTCTCAAGAAATCCTATTGGCTAAAAAATAAAAAAAATACAACATTCGCCCATGCATTTCTCAGAAAAATTCGCAACAGCTACCAAGTCCCGTTGAGTCGATTTGGTCGTTGAAAGACTATAAATAGAAACAGCGAATGTATTTTCATCGCATCTGAGATATGGCGCACTCGAGATAGAGCTAACAAGGTGAAGGCTTTTAGACATAGTCTTTTCTGGGCGATGGTTGGGGGGAATCCCCTAGAGATAGACTTAGCTAGGGAAGCCGTGGAGCGTTCGAATAGCAAGTGCTACATGGGCCAGGTAATTAGGCATAGGTTTAAGCGAGATGTCTTCTGAAGCGGTGAATATGGGCGCAGATTTGCACAGGGAAGAAATCCGTCGAGGTTCCGATCGTTATATTCATGAAGTTAAAACCCCGGAGGGGCACACTCTTTAGACCACTGACGATATGTGCGAGGCATTTCGGCGGCATTTTGAGAGCTGGTTTACCAAGGAGCCTGGTCTCCGGGACAAGGAGTTTCATAGCTATTTGGCTGACTTTCCTCGGCTTTCTCTGACTGAAGCTGCTAGCTGCAAGGGAGAGATCATGGAGGGCAAAGTCTATGCGGCATTGAAGAAGGTTGGCAGAGGCAAGTTGCCTCGTCTGGATGGTTTGCCCTATGAATTGTACTTGAGGCTGTCGCACATCTTTGCCCTGATTTTGACTGTAGTGTTCAATAACTGGTTCCAGTCAGGGTCCATCCCCAGCCGGTTCACCAGGGCTGTTGAAAAAAGGCAAGGGTGTTGGGGCAGCATTAGATGACTATAGGCCCATAACTCTGCTAAACACAGAGTTAAAGATTTTGGCCAAGATCCTGCAGGAGCGTTTGCAGTCAGTTGCCGAGTCTCTGTTTGGGTCCTGAGTAGACTTGTGCTGTGAGGGGCCAAACAATTCAGAGCAACCTGCATCTGATCCACACGATTATAGAGGGTGTAAAAGACGACGATGAGGCCCCACTGATCAATTTGGATCAGTCCAAGGTATTTGATAGTGTTGAGGATCGCTACCTGGCACTGGATTAGCCTTCTGTATCGCTCCCCCAGCATGAACGGAAAGCTGTCGGGTGCTTTTGCACTGTCTCGGTTGGTTCATCAGGGTTGTCCACTGTTGCCCCTACTTTAGGCTTTGCCATTGGAGCCTCTCCTTTGCTGGCTGAGGGACAGGGTATGCAGTCCAGCCCTACGTGGAATTGCCGTCCCTAGAGAGCCTCGTGCCAGAATTTCTGTCTGCATACACCGATGACGTATCTACTTTCGTGTCATCCCACAGCAACATTAAGGTGGTACTGAAGGCACTTGATCGGTACTAAAAGGTGACAAGGGCCAAGATTAACCATGACAAGTTGTCCGGTTTGTGGTTAGAAGCATGGAAATGGGTTGATCTTCCGGGCCCCTTTGATTAGAGGGACGGTCATGTCCGCTTTCTTGGAGCATGGTTTGGATCCGACCTCCAGCTGGAGAAAAATTGGTCAGAAATACAGGTGCAGGTTGGTGTGACCGGTGAGACTTAATGCTGAAGGAGGTTGTCTGTGAAGGGCAGGGTGGAGGCGTGTGCCACTTACGTCCTTTACCACTTGGCCATACTTCCTCTCTGTAAGGACCATAAGAAGCTGCTTGAACAATCGTAATTCACCATTTTATGGAGGGGACGCAGTCATAAGGTCCACAAAGAAGTCTGTGCACAACGTCTGTGTCGTGGGGGGCTGGGAATGCCGCACTTGGTGAGCCACAAACTCGCCTCAAGGTTGGCTTTCCCACACCGCACATTGACAGGAGATTCGATTCTGGCGGGGATTGTGAGAGACGACTTACCTTTCCTTACTATCAGTCCCCCCATCTCGTGGGTTGAGCGCCATTGTAAACACTGGGATCAATCGGATTTCCTTCGCGAATGTCGATATGCCTTCACATTGATTCCTCGGTTCAGTGACCTTTTACATCCTAGGAAGGTCTTCTATCGTTATCTACTGGAGGGGGTTGCAAAGGATTGTCCACATGAGTGGCTCGACATATTGGAGGAGGAGTTTTGTTCCTTCTGGTCCTGGGCACTGGCGGAGGATTACCTCAATAACCATGAGTTTTCACTTACCTGGCAACTGGCTCAGAATAGGCTATCTCTCAATGACAAGGCCTTCATATGGGACTTGGCGGATTTGCCAGGTTGTGAACAGTATGACCTTGGCTTAGAGGAAACGGCTTCGCACGCTTTCTACCATTGTCCTCAGATTCGCCCCCTATGCGACCATGTTAGCGAGTTGACGGCTCATATCACTCCTGAAATGCTCATGCCTATTGATCGCACATGTGTTGTCCCCGTATTCTAGAGTGAAACGAATGGTGTTTCTATCGCTACTGGCTATGGCTCGAATGGTGATTTGGATGATGCGACAGGAGGAAGTCTTGCGAGGCATCCGTCTTTCTCATCAGGAACTGATCCGATCCTTTGAGCATCAGCTCAAGATGAAGATTAGAACTGATAGAAAACGCTTGCATTCAACAGTCTTTAGCGAAAGGTGGGTGACTGAGGCGAGCTTGGTTCGTGTGAACGGGGCTAGCCTTGATTTTCTCTTTTAGGTCAACCTACGTCACATCAGGGTGGTTTCCTGTGGAGCACTCCCCTTGGTTTGGCTAGACAAGCTTTGTGTACCTAGTTAATGCGAGTAAATGTTGTTCCTAGCCTGCTCCTGGCTGCATCTTTGGTTAAGATCCAAGTTGAGATTCCCGACCTCCCCAGTTTGTTTTAACCCTCTTTTCATTTCGACTGAGTCAGCTTTTATATTTTCCCATGTCTGTATATATTTTCTCCTTCCCCTTTTCCTTAGTGAGAGAGCCTCTTGATTTTGCCCAATGGGCAGAATACAGCGGCCTCTCTCTTTTTGAGGGTTGGATGGGCCCTACTAACATCAGTTATGTTTACTTTGGTTTGCGTTGATATTTAGTTTGTTTTGGGGTTCATTCCCTTCCCTCTCATTCTTCACCCATAAATTGTTATGTATATATTGTATATATTTTATTATCATCAAATTTTTAAGTTATGGGGCATGTTTTCTGTAGGTCCCCTGAGAGGATGCGGTATTATGGTGGATGTAGGAATGATTGGCGATGGATGAGTTCTTGTCGTGAATGGGTAAATTGTAATGAGTTAATGGGTCATGAATCAGATTAGCTAGGTATAGGATAGTCAGTGTGGACCAGCCTCAACCCCTTGCACTTTTTCAGCCTTGTGCCATAATTGTATTCTATATAATAAATAAATCTGAGATTCACACACGCGAAAGATATACATGGGAATTATATGTCAGATAGCCACTAAAGAAACAAACTTCCTTTATGAGAGTTTAGAAAAATTTACACAACAAAATTTTTCACTCAATATCTTTCATAGAAAAAACTTTTGTCTAAGTTAAATGCAACCTTTTAAAATAGAAAAGAAATTGTAAATTGTGTATATAAAATTTAATTTGTTGTTTCAAACATGTATTT